GCTCCCTCTTCTGCGTGTTCAGTTCTGGTCTTAATGCTCAGCGCGATAAAAGTATAAAAGCAGACGGGCGCAGGGGAGGCGTTAGGGAAGGCTGGGTCAGCCCACGGTAAGCAAGAGGACTGCGGCGTTGGCTTATGCAACGGAGTCAACCTGGGACTGCGAGGCTCCCGCTGACCGGGGACGGGCTCGGCCCGGCGGAGCGACTGCAGCTGCTGCACCCCGAGCATCCTGGGGGCGCACCCGGGCACGGCCTGTCACGACAGAACTGCCTTTAGAATGACAAAAGGCATGGCTGGGTAAGACGCTGAGCTGGGCCTGTACAGCACAGCGAACAGGTTCAGCGCCTTCACAGGTAAGTGGCAATTAAAAACGGGCCATTTCTACATTAGTGGCAAAAGGACCTTGTGTAGCAATTTAGATGTCATCCAAAAAAATTCTTCAGAATTTTTTTTTTTTAAATTTTATTTTTGGTCATTTCGGAGGTAACTTTCCTGATTTTGTAGGATTACTCTTTAACACAATGAATTGCCTACCTATCATTCTATGATTCTATTTCCATTATTAAAGTAGAATTGTCTCATTCAGCTGCATTTAGAGGACATAAAGAAAAAAGGGGTAATCACTACTAAAATCACTTGTGAAACCAGACATCCCCTGCTCTGTAAAATACAAAGCATGGTAGCAAAGACTGGTGATATTCTGAGACAATATACAGGCAAGTGTTCTGTGGCTGATGTAATTCAGTCTGGAGTAATCAAAGCTTCATACTTAAGGATAAACCTACATAATGGAGTTAGGTGATTGTATCCATGCCTGTGCTTAGTCACCCTTGCGCTCACTGTAGTGCATATATTTGCAATATCTAGTTCCAGTCTGCTGCTTTGGTTGAATCAAGTCAAAACAGTTCAGTGAGACGTAACTTTGGTGGCCTTCAACTGTGCAAAACAGCTTTTCTTTAAAAAAAAAAAAAAACCCAAACCAACAACTTTCTTAAAAACTTAAACCAACAGATGCTTCCTGAAAATAAACTGGGTTGTTTTCAGTACTCAAAAATAGTATGAGGGTTGAAAGACAACATAAAGATATCATACTTTCTACTCATGCAGTGCTACAGCTAGAGAACTGATTTGAGAAAAAAAACCAAAAAACATAAGTTTTTCCACAAAGGTGAACGAAAGCTTTGAAAACAACACAACTGCATCTTGTGCTACTGCCACAGAAGCCACTCAGCTGAGGAAATCTAACATATGACAGCGGAATAAAAATTTGTTTGCCCAGCTAAAATTACTGTATTTTTAGCCTGATGTCTTGCATGGGCTATGGCATTTAGAAAAAAAATGCCCACAAAACAACTGCAATGGGAAATAAAAAATGGAAGTTGACACGATTCTGGAACAAATTCTGTACGATGGCTGAAGTGTCAAAGGATTAGCCAGTAGAGATGCAACCACATATCCGTATGCTTACAAAACCCCATACTGTATAATTTAGCCGTATGGTTCATGGAGTATAGCATGTTGTCTAGTAACATTGATTTTAATTGCACAATGTTTATTGTGGATTTGATTAAATCTTGTTCTCTCTCTGGAAAGAATGCAGAATGTGTACTTACACTTTCCTATATGTGCTAAATGGGAAGAACACAAAACGACACTGACCATGTCAGAGCATACGTGACATGGGAAATCACCTGCATTTTTTTGCATAAATTCTACACTGTCCCAGAAATGGGCTGACAGGAATAATAACCATGATTTTAAAGCTGTGAATGTTTTCTGTTGTACTTTAGAGATTACTTACTCTTGCATTTTGGAAAGAGACTTCTCGTGATTGCTTTGAAGTTCACTGATTTCAGTTAAAATGTTACCTCTTTACTGATAATAAAGCAAAGGTAGCTGGACAACAACTGATACTAGCATACTGTTTAAAGAATTCAAGCTATTTTGAGAGGAAATGATAGCTAATTCTTTACTTTTTGGAAAGTCAGGCTGCCCTGATATTAGGTTCCCTAGACTACAGAGGTCCATTGTTTTTGCAGAACTAAATGGTTGTAGGTTGGAAGTCTGAATATGAACTGACCTATTAAAAAAAAACCCTTCACCTCATTTCCCAGTTTCCTCTAGTGTTTGTCAGTTTTATCAGTGATCCAGTATACATCCACCATACTACCTTGGAAGTGCCTCCTAAGAAACTTTGCAAGAGAACGCTTATTTAACACCTTAGAGAACTCTGTTCTCCATCTTATTGCTAAGATTTGTGCTTCAGCTTACATCCTTCCAATTCTTCAGCAACTACCCTTATATATTATTACCTATATAAAAGGTACTGTTTACTAATTTTAAAAAACATTGTACTAATCTATATACTACATCTGTATACTACATCGGTACTTATTTTAAAGATACACAGTTTATGATTTACTTCTGTTGTGTCCTGTATCAACTAATTTGCCACTAGTTTAATTTAAATTAAAACTTCAGAACATTTACTAGTCTCATGAAATTTTGAATTACAGGTGACTTAATTCTGACTTCCAGACTAACAAGATCAAAAGGCATTTCAGTCACTGACCTTAAATTGATCAGTTATGTGAAGCGTATAATCTCTTATCTTTAAAATGTTTTCTTCACACTACATCACATTTCACTTACAATATAATATTTCAGCAATACTTTCACTGTTTCTCTCTCTACAGAAAAGCTGGTAACCAGCGGAGAAGATACAAAAGCTAAAATCAGTATGTGGAGCTGTGAAACCTTAAACAACAGTACCGAGAACAGTGAGGACCAGCATCTCTGCCATGACTTCCACCTTGTACTTTCCATCTTTTCCCTACTCTACCTCATTATATGTTTCCCAATTGGCCTTTGTTACAATGGCTTGCTGGTCCTAGTTAATCTCTATAACAAAGCTACTATGACTATGCCAGATGTTTACTTTGTCAACATTGCCATTGCTGGTCTCATCATCAACGCTCTGGCACCGATGTACCTTCTAGGTCTTGCCAGTACAAAATGGGCCATATGGAGTTCTAACAATGAAGTTTATATTACCTTACTTATTTTATTCAACGTCTCGTCTTTAGTTACCATGTACTCTACTACATTACTCAGTCTGGACTACTACATTGAACGTGCTCTACCTAGAACTTACATGTCGAGCGTGTACAACACCAAACATGTTTGTGGATTCATATGGGGTGGTGCCATGCTTACAAGTTTCTCATCTCTCCTGTTCTACGTCTGCAATCACGTATCCACTAAAATAATTGAATGTTCCAAGATGCAGAACAAAGAAGCAGCAGATGCCATTATGGTCTTTATCGGGTACGTTGTACCAGCTATCGCTGTACTGTATGCACTTATATTAATCTTGCGAATACGCAAAGAGGCTACACCACTGGATCAAGACACTGGACGATTAGATCCATCGGTGCACAGGCTTTTGATTGCCACAGTCTGTACACAGTTCACATTATGGACACCCTATTATGTTATTCTGTTGGTAAGCACATTTACTAATGCACAAGGAAGAATTGCAGATGAGAATTACAGTCGAATATTACATTTTACCAAGATTTTATCAAAATTCTTGGCTTTCTCAAGCAGCTTTATAATGCCTCTGCTCTACAGATACATTAACAAAAACTTTCCCAACAAATTACGACGTTTGCTTAAAAAGATACACTGTGGGAATCAAGGGTGTTCTCATGAACGCACAGTAGTACAGCAAGTTATGACATAGGCATGAAAAAACCCTCTGGGGCTGTGTTACTGCAGTACTTAGCATACCAGTGCTGGGACCGTGATACTGCTGTGTTGGCAGTCATTAATGTGAGAGTCCCAACCAAGAGGCTAGAAGGAGCTTTCCATTACAGTTAAATGAAACAGTCTTAATTTTCAAATAGTTAATTGTTCGCTGAAATCTTGTGAGACTCTGGCCTGTGTGGTGTAATAGCTGTGACGTCTAATACTTTCAATGCACTGAACTGGTTACAAAGCATAAACTCCGTCTTCATCGTTCTAATATTCCTGTCTGAAGAAATCACTGAGCAGTTTACTGAAGTCTTGATGGAAGACACAGCACCTTGTATCTTGTATAGAAAAAGGTATTACCGTATTTTCTGTACAAAGAAGTAACAGTGCTATCCTTGATGAAGTAAATAGCATTTTTCAATGAAGACAATATAGATGATCTTTACTAAAGATCATATTATCCAATTACACATGTCCAAGTAGTAAATGTTAATTATAAATTAAATTATTTAATTTCTTTCTTCTTCACTGAATCCCCTCTAAAAGAAGCCTAATTTACCATTTTCAGAAATTATCTTAGCGCACAAACTAACCTAAGTTTTAACATTTATGGTAAATTGATATTTTTCTAGATAGAACAATTAACAAAAATGTGTTTTATTTTTCCAGTGCTTTGTTTGCATCCTAGAACATTTCAAGAATTCAGAAATATTTATTAACTAATTCTAAGGGAACTGAGAGATATTTGTTCCGCATATTAAAATGAAGGACACGGTGGTTTACAAAGTTAAATCAAAATTTAGCTAGTAAAGAATGTCTGGGTAAGTGTTATGGTCCACATATGTTCATGTAACAAGAGTAATTATCTTAAAAATAAATATGTTTATGATTAACGTTTTGTATTTTCAAGGGATATGTTTGCAACAAATAAATGAAAATCTCTTTAATCTAGGGCATCACCGGAGGTTTAGAAACCATACAAAATCCCTCAATACATACAGGATTTTAAAATGGGAGCAATATATAGGAATCCCAGTCAGCATCAGCTTTTTGCTGACATCTCAGACATGGAGTGCCTCCCAATGTGATTCTTGAATATACAAGAAAAGTATAGTTTCTGTATTTCGCAGTGGGGATGAAGAAATCCAATCCAGATTGCCAAATTTTACCGCGTATTTGAAATACATAAGAAACACAAATTGCTGCAGGAAGAAAGTTAACAGTTACCCGCAACAGCAGACTGCGAAACGCTGACCCAAAACTACCTGTTCCTATGCTGTTGTTGCATTATTAATGATGGAGGAGGGGCAGAAATTAAACTGCTGTTCTCCCAATGATTTGGGGCAGCAAGACGGCTTTGTCACTCTTCCTGCAACACAGCAGAATCATTGTGTTCCTTAATCTGTCACAACACAACTCAAATTCCACATGACTTTTTTCAAGAAGTGTGGCTTTTCAAGCCTCTGGTATAGAAACACCACGGAGCAAAACCAGAACTGAACCTTTTCCATTGCTTATAGCTCCGTCTCATCTGATAACTGGCCCTAATTTGTCAGCACAGAGACAGGCTTAAGTTCTAAGTAGGAAGCAGGATCTTTTCAGAGCTTTTCCCTTCTCTTCAATGTTACTCAAATAATTTCACCTCATAGCCATCTTTGCTTATCTTCTTCATATACAAGCATCTCTAAGTTATCCACATCCTGGTGGAAGACTCTCTATTAATCTTTACTTTTTTAATAGCTTTCCATGTTTTACTGAATTTTTTTTAACCCTTAAACCCTATATAGTAAACCGTCTATTTCTATGGCGTTTTCTCCACCCGAAAACTATCCAGTGCAACTACATCAATTTACTTCACAGATTTAGCCTGTTGATGAAAACCACGTTAAAGAATTAAGCCTTTCTTTATCACTGTGTTTGAGTCACACACTAATTTATGGTGCCTCTATGCTGACATGATACTGGCTGCTTTCGTAAACGATGGGGTTGGTTGCTTGGTTTTTTCCCCTTAACTTGAGAGGTTTTCTGTGAATTTCTACGTATCTTAAGCATTCGAGCTCACTTCCACACAGAAGTGCTTAAGAAAGAAATCTATCCTTACAACTGTCAAGCAAATAGGCTCCTCTGCTTCCCATCTGAGGAAAATTAGGTTTCCTAATGCACCACATTAAATCTCTCATGTAAAATCTGTTAAAGAAATTCCATCCCATTATGCAGGAAAAATTCCAGCAGGGAGGAACTGGCTTATCTGGTGTGAAAAGAAGCTTCCAGAACTGGGACACTGCCAGGACAGTGTGGCTGAACAGGCAGTATTAAGTGCAATTTCAATTTATTTCCCCCCTCTCCTAAGACATCTTACCTTCTGTCTCTAACAGGACTGTCACAGTTATTTCTGTTCCTTTCTCTCCATGTTAAATTCCCAGTTTCAGATCATGGCTCTTTCATCATCTCTCTTTAGCCTCTTCTCTCATCTTTTTGACTTTTCTATCCGAATGTGCTATTATTATTTATTTTTCGTTTTGCTCCTCTGTTTCTGTCCATGCTTGGTCTTGTACACTTGGTACCATTCACCACTCACATTTACTTCACTAGACTGACTCCTTTACGACGACCCAAATTCAGTGATTTGACATTATTAATGGATTTATGTAGTAAAATGGAAGCTGCTATTTAAGAGATGGAGAAAGAACAAGTTTTTTTTATATAATTTACTCTTGAAATCTCAGTTTTGATTTTTTTTCCTTATCTTTTTTCTTGCAGCAGAGTTAAGTATGTTTGTGTGTATCCTTGATGAGATACTGTGATGGCAATCATATAGACAAAAACTTCCATAATTTAATGGACAAGACTGATAGCCGCTTAACTTTTATTAAGAGTTAATTTGATGTATTAGTTTCCCCAAAGAAACTGTGCCATGGAGCTGACTGACTGCTGTTCTCTCAAAGAAATTCTGAACTTAATTGCAGCACCCTCACGTGGTATCTCTTAAAAAGCAGTATCCCAAAAAGCAAGAACTTTGCAATATTTATATAAAAAACAGTTGATGAGCAAGTGCAGTAAAATACTTAAGGAAATACATGGTATCATAGATATGGAAGAACTTTTATGGACAAATCTTCAATATACAAAGTTCTCAAGAAAGGGGCCTTTCCATTTCACATACCTGAAGGTTTCTGATGAGTGTAAATAGGGGCTTATCTATTTCACATTTAAATAAATATGAGTAAAATACTGTATATATGCAAGATAATAATCAGCCTACTGATGTAAAAAGAATTTGCAAAGAATTTATTAAATTATTTCTTAAAGTGTATCATTTAAATGTAACCTCTGAACAGTAAGGTGTACTGTATGTTTCTGTATGTATATACTGTATACTAGAAAGTAAGCACTAGTTAAGTGCCATTATTAAGTGTTATTTTCTCACAAAACTAAATTTAGTATTTGAGTTGATCTGTGTCTTATAGCCCCCTTGCTGAACTGCCAATTAAGTCAAATCAATGAACGAACAAAAATGTTGCTCTGCTTCTGCTTAAATTATTAACATAGCTAGCTCAAGACAGGTTCTTGGTGACTAACCTAGTAGAGGTTCTAGTTTCAAAAGTTTTCATTTGAGAATCAAATTGAGTTGGTCTCTGAAGACATAATTTCAGTTAATGAAAGAAAGTGAACAATCCCTAGAAAATTTCTGGTTCTATTAAAATGAAGAGATGTGGCCTTCAGTATTATGTCAAAATACTACAGAAATGGACTTTCTGCAAAGCCTCACAGAGGAACCAGTGACTCATAATAGATTCTCAATAAAAAGTGTTAAAGTGTATCTGGTCAGTAAGATGTGTGATTTTTTTTTTTTTTTTTGGCCTTCTTGATAAAAACCTACTGTAGACAAGATTAAACCTGTGTTGCTTCAATGCATCAAAATATAACAAATTGCATGACTTGGACGGCAAATCAGACATGTTAAGTTACCATATTTTCCAGGCCATAATTTTGACATAATTAAAATCTCATTATTCATCAGCATGAAGTTAGCTGGGAATGAAAGGAAAAAGGCACACACCCTCCAATTTTTTTCAGCATAAAGAATCCTGCAACTAACAGGATAGAGTAACACTGCACCACAGAAATACAAGGCTGGTGATGAATGCATACATCAGCCCTGTCCTTGTGACTTCCTCTCTGTGCTGCCACAAATGAGATCTCGGAAATCAGCTCCCTGCAGAAATTCTCTCAGTTCCCAGAACAACATAATATAACAACCCATACCTTTGGCGTACTGAAGAAAATTTAGCTTGAAGAATATAACGCACCTCATAATACATTTATTGCAGTAACCACTGCATATAACCAAAAGATCACTCAATGTGGAACAGTCAGTTTACCCCAAATATATGAGAATATTTTCCTGGCTGTGCTTTCAAAATTATTAATTTGTTCCCTTTAAATCTTCTGTAAAGTGTAGGAAGACAGCAAGTAAAAGCAAACTCTACTTAAAATGGTTACTGGTGAATTCCTTAAAGAAAAAAAAAACTTAGTTCAAGGCACTTCTGAGTGTTAAGTCTCAGTGAGAAATAAATTAAAATGGCAACTGTGAAAATGGAAGTTGCAATATTATATCATGTAGTCAAAGCCCAGGATCTGACAAGATGCTCTTACTTCCATACAATGGTTTAAAGAGTATTTTCTGTTACTCTAATTGGAGACCCAGCACCTCTAAGCAAACACAAGGTAGTGACTTTCTGATGCTTCATCCCTCAGAGCTTTAAAATACAACCATTATACATAAAAAGGCTGTGTTTCTCATCGGGATTAGTAAAACTCCTTTTATACAACATAAACTTGAAGGATCTTAAATGAGAACAGAACTAGTTAATAAGCAGCAAGTTAACAAGTTTGCGAAGGGTGAACTTGTACATAAATGCAAGTAAAAAGAGTTGATCAGGTACAACCAAGTCAATAGGTTTACACTAGTACAAACCAGGCCAACGT